AGACTGGGGGAAGAACATTGCACATCAAACGCAGTGCGCTGCTCTGCCGCGCAACGCGCAACGAAGGGGCTTGTATCACCCGTTCGTGCCCGCTGCTGCAGTGCAGCAGCCGCCGCTTCTCAGCTCTGGGAGGCACAAGTGCAGACTCCTTTCTCCAGCACCTGTCTCACAGTGCGAGCAGGTACTTTTAGTCCTTAAATTGCCTGCAAATGGCCGATTTTTTGTTGTACAAGCCCGCTGCGAGTCCGTAAGGGCCACTGCGGGTTGCTAAGGGCCCTCTCCCTTGCTCTTTTGCAGGCATAAACGTCGTGTGAATCCCCACGTCTGTTCCCCAAGTGCGGCCTTGGAGCAGTGCCCATAGGCAAGGGAATCGCAAGCACCCTGGGGGCTACAGATTAGCCGCCACGTAGCGACCCAGTGGGTCGCTAGAGCTCAGAAGCAACAGCTCGTTTCGAGTGCGAGCTGCTGCCATACTTGCTGAGCCTACAGTTGTGGGCGAAGCACATAGCAGGCAGTGACCTGTTCGTGTGGATTGACAATGACGCAGCGCGTACATCCCTACACAAAGCCTTCACAAGGAAGGCGGCAAGCGCCGCGATAGTATCGCAGGCAGTCGACGTGGAGGAGTCCCTGCAGTGCAGGGCTGCTTTCTTCCGCGTGCCCACCGTCAGCAACATTACTGATGGCCCCAGCAGAGACTGGTGGGAAGAGACTGAGAAACTTGGCGCAGAGCGCTAATTCCTTCCTCCCAACGCAGTGCTGTTGGCCTTGTCACTCGGCGCGGACTAGATGGGGGGTGAGTAAGGCTTCGAGTGCCTTGAAGGGGGGTGAACCAGTCGTTCGCCTTACCTGCGACCAGCGGTCGTTCTTTTCAGACAGATGCCAGCGGCATCCTTCGTTTCAGTGCCCGAAGATCGGGCCCGAACTGACCCCCCATGTCCGCTAGGAGAAAAAAAAGAGAGTGCTTGCACAGGGTTTAACTGCAGCGCGGTTAAGGGTTTCCCGTTACGCGCGCAAACGGAAGTTTCGTTGGGAAATAAGCTTCCATCATGCGTGCGTGAATGGGTTTTATTTCCCGCCGAAAGTGTAGACAAAGTTTTGTCGTAAAAGGAAAACAGTGTTTTCACTTGTGTGTTGTGAACACTAGACAAACTTTGCCGTGCAGCTTTCGGCTTGAAGTGGATCTGTGATCCAAAAGTTTTTATCCCACCCACCACACCCTGTATAGTATGCGGGGTCTGGGACCACGCTTGTGGCAGCAGAGCTGCCGGAGCAGCGCTCCTTGTTCTATCTCTAGCAGAGATCTCATCTTCAGCACAGCGTGCTTTGCTGTACATAGGCCGTAGGCCGTCAACAACGCAGAGTAGCTAGTAGTAGACTGCAGCGACCCTGTGGGTCGAAGAAAGTTTCACCTTTGTCTCCAGTAGTACTGAGACACCCCTGGTAGGGGGCAGGAGGGGGGTGAACCAGTCGTTCGCCTTACCTGCGACCAGCGGTCGTTCTTTTCAGACAGATGCCAGCGGCATCCTTCGTTTCAGTGCCCGAAGATCGGGCCCGAACTGACCCCCCATGTCCGCTAAAAAAAAAAGAGAGTGCTTGCACAGGGTTTAACTGCAGCGCGGTTAAGGGTTTCCCGTTACGCGCGCAAACGGAAGTTTCGTTGGGAAATAAGGATAGAGGGCGACAGGCCCGCAAGGGCGGGATAGTGGACCCTCCCTGGCTATATGAGCTCGATGACGACGACTTCGTCGCGGTTAGCAACAAGACGGATAGAGGGCGACAGCTCGCGGATAGAATCCCGGATCAGGGATGGATATCCTGCCGCCCCAACGGTGCCACCCCTGGGGTGGGCCGTTGGGAAGCGGACGGGGCTATCTTTCGTTGTATAGTTGTTTGTGATGTGTGCGGGATAGAGCAATGCAACAAAAGGATGTGGTATTGCCTGGATACGCACGGCGAGCGAGGCCACACGTGCAATGATTGCCGACCCCCGGCTAGATCGGCTAAAGGGGCGGGCAGAGGCCGAAAAGGCCCCGGCGAGAGCACGAAGGTGTGGCTAGGGTTCCCCGACGTTCGCGGCTAACAGCAAAATGAAGGATAAGGCGAGCGCATTGCGATGACCAGTTCAAGCCGGCTAGTGCACTCGTCTGCCAGAAAGAAGAGAGAGACAGGCTAGGTTTTCCCAGGAGACCAGAAACTTTTTGGGGCCGGCTGGGAGAAGGGGGGGGGAGGGGGTCTCCGGGTCTCTTCGGTGGATCCTCCTTCTTTCCCAACTCTCTGGCTACAGGTGGGGGGGTCTCGGCTCCGTGCCTTTGTCGGGGATACTCCCTCTGTCCCATCTCTCGGGCTATAGGGGGGGCTAAAATGCACCCATGCGAGCGAGAGCATTCAATTTCAAGAGACACCTGTAGCCTGACAGTCGGCTAGCTCTCCAAGAGCTAGACCTCGGCATGGCTTCCCCCGTTGATCCAAGCAGAGCTAGCAAAAGGCTCCACGGATTTCCGCTATCTTTTGACCCAGAACCGGGTACCGGATACATCCCAGGCTACCTTGTTCAAGGCCGGGATAGACACGATAGCGAAGTTTTCGGCGAGTTTCAAGGACGAAGCCGATCTGAAATCGGTGCTAGTGAAGGACTTCTCGATAGAGCCGGAAAGCATCCTGGCTAACAGGGCACTAGCGGCTGCCTTTGTGGTGGCCTGGAGAGCGGCCCAGGCTCGGACCCGCGAGCAAGCGGATAGAGAAGCGGCTAGCGAAGTCCGGGAATGGGCTAAGCCCATCCCCCAAACTGAGTACATGGCTATGCGCCAGTGTTTTGCTCAGAAGTTTGGCGAGCCCGAGGATAAGCATATTCCGGCGAAGGAATACATTGAGCGAAAGCTGCATGAGCTAGAGACGGGCGAGTTCAGGGCTGAGCCCCTGAACGAGGTGCTATCCAGAGACGAGATAGACCCGGATGTGCTGGTCCCTAAGTGGGATAGCAAAGGCACCGCCCTCATGCTCAAGAAGGCTACCTCGAAAGGGGCTATGCCATCAGGCCCAGAGCAGCTTCGGCTCAGGCTAACGGTGATGCAGAACGCCCTCTTGATGATAGGCTTGCAGCACCCGGGGCGATCTGAGCTAAAGGATATCGACTTCCACCTCTTCGAGAAGTATAAAGACTATTTGCTCGGCGATTTCTGCTATGGGCTACGCTCCAACGAGGCTAGCGGATCCTTGGCTCCCCCATGGACCCTGGTGCTATCCTACGAGAACGCTATCCGGAAGCAGACGTACAAGCAGATGGTCGTGAAGGGGATAGGCTTCGCCGACGCGCTAGTCCATTTCTGGAAGGATGCGGCTACAAAAGAGCGCCATTTCACGACCCCGCTAGCGCTGTGCGCCAAGAGACCGCAGCCCTGGTCGTGGGATAACAACCAGCCGGATAAGCCCAACAAGAAGAGCAAGGGCAAAGGCAAGGGCAAGAACGGCAAGGATAGCAACAAGAAGGCGAAGACTGGCACCTTCAACCGCACCGAGGATAATAAGCCGATTTGTTTTCGGTTTAATTTTAAGGGTGGCTGTAAGAAGGGGGATAAGTGCCACTTTGTGCACGTTTGCACGAAGTTTCCACTTTCGGCGTCGATGTGGATGTATGCTGCGTAGATCTGGCGCGAAGTCCATCGACTGACCTGGCTACCTCCAAGGCGAGATCCAAATATCTCGCGATGGTCCAGTCGGGCTCCTGTGACATAGTGGCTATGTCCCCTCCAGTGGCGACCTTCTCACGGGCTACTTGGGCTAACCGCAAGTTTCGTTCTTTGAACACTTGCAGAAGATAGAGCTTTATTGTTCAAAGAAAAACAACATGACAAAATGACTTAGAGAACTAAGTCCAATTTTGATTTGTTGTTTTAGGGCTTTCCTTTTACACTGCCCATTTTATTGAACTCATTTATACATGCTGTAAACCAGTTGAAGAATACATTCGTCCGTTGCAGCTTGACCTCTCGAAGGGGCAGGAAGCCCTGAATCGGGCGAGAGTTTTATTTGAAATAGGGGGGCGGGCCGGATGCTTGTGCCTCAGTCTCTCGCTGGGAGGTCTTGATGAAGTGAATCTTCTGCTTGAGTGTGTCTTGAGCTTTGAGCTTACAGTATCCTGCTCAACTTGCAGAGTGATCTCGCGGTTGCCTACTTAGCTGGAGCTTTGTTGCTTTTTCGGTGTGTGACCGAAGTACTGGCCTGTGTTTCAGGAGTATGCAATCACCTGAAGTGACCGGCGGAGAAGCAGAGGCGCCGACACCCTCGGATTCGTTTACATCCACTGAGAGCTTTGTGTTACACCACATGCGTGGGTTACAGATCCAGATCAGTCGGCTGCATAGAATGCAGCTCATGCTTGCTGATCGCCTTTTCGATCGCGTGTCGCGGTTGGAGTCTCAGCAGATGCTCGTTTCTTGCTTTCTTCATTGGAAGTTTCGGGCTGGCCGCAATTCTGATCCGGAGCATGTTCCTCGAGGATTGCTGGAACCTCAGCTCCCGTAGTGAGACTTTGCATGGCCTGTTTCTTGCTCAGAGGAAGAGAAAGGCGGGCGAGGCAAACTTGCCCTGGGATACGCCTCCGGGATATATCTTCAGGATGCAGGTGGTCGTTACTGACCGCCTAACCAGATATATGACCATCACGCTCGATATTCAGCTGAGTTGCAGAGATATTATCGATCAGGCGAAGTACTTAGTGTCACAACGTCTTTTCGAGCTTGTTGGTCGCTTCCCCAAGTTGAGCTCTTTTCAATTGGTCCAGGATGGCAGGCACCTGAGTTTTTCAGCTCCAGTGCTAGTGGCCAACACGTTGTCACCTGTGAGATTCGTTCGCACCGCCTAAAAGTCTGAGTTGAGTGTTTGTGTGACTACAGTGACATGCTGATTGTGTTGCTGCTGTTGGATTGCAAGAGAGTGCCGGAGGTCGTCAAGATGTTGCCCGTGTTTGTAGCCGTTTGCTTCTCAGGCATTGTTTTGAAATGGCGGATGCTGTAGGGACGGATGAGGCCGATGACCGTTCTTGGTCGTCGTGGAGCTCAGCTTTCGAGCCACAGCAACCGGAGCCTCCCCTCCCGTCCGTGAAGAAGCGTAAGAAGAAGAAGACAAGGAAGGCCGGGAAGACCTCTCGTAAGAGGCATAAGGCCCGGCGGGTGAGTCCCGCGCCTGATTCGGACAGTTCGGCCATCGAGGCCAGGACGGAAGTCCTACAGGAGGTGGGGGCTCGACAGCCAACAGTGTCGGCTACGGCTTCGTCGGGGGAGCTCAGGCTACCCCTTGATGGTGATATTGCTACTGAGGACTTGCTTGACATCGATTCGCAGTCTGCAGGTACTTATACGGTGGAGGATCACACTGAGGCAGTCATGCACCATGCTAGGCGGGCTCGTGGAAATCCCAAGGCCGCCGCTAAAATGCTGGTGCGGGCCCAACTTAGATGCCGCTGTCATTTTACATATGTTCATGAGTGTGCTGCCCGAGCGGCACGGCGACCGCCTGGTTGAGGGCGCTTTTTCCCGAGTTGCTCGGCCTACGCGCTGATATGTGACCGTCAGGCTTAGGTACTTCTGCCTACTGACTTATGCTGCACTGATGTCGGCTATGAAAGTACATTTTCGTCTGAGCATCGAGTCAGCTGTGTATTGACATCGTTGTGTGTTGCGGCGCTCAGGTCGGGACGCCTGCGTGCAGAGACAGCGCTCGGGACCTCGAGCGAAAACATGCGCAAGAGCGCTCTCGATGTGAGTGTGTACGCCAGAGGTTGCGTGCGTGCAGAGGCACCTTCGTACGTGACGTTTGTCTGCCAATCCCTTTTGGCCCCCCCCCCAAAAAAAAGAGATTCAGAGCAGCAAGCAAGGCAGGAGCCTGGTGCTGGGTGTTTGACAAGGCGCCGAAGGGCTTGACAGAATCTCGGAGGGCTGGAGCCCGGTTTCAGCTACGTGCTGAGTGTGTGACGCAGGGATGTTTCCCTGGCCAATGGGACCGATGGGGCCGATGATGCCCCCATTCGGTAGTGAGAGGCGTCGGCGCCGTCGGCGCTCCCCCTCGAGTAGCTCTGAGCGCTCGAGGAGCAGAAACTGCGATCGCAGACGCGGCCGGGAATCAAGATCGGGGGGAGCGCGAGCTGCTGCGCATTTTCCCCCGCCATTGCCTCAGCTGCCGGCAGCAGCGCCGGGATATGAATGGAGGCAAGTACCAGTGGTGCCGGTGCAGCCACCTTTCCCGCTTCCCTCGACACCTGCCCCGATTGCTCCTGCTGTGCATGTGCCTCAGCAGCAGACTACTTGGAATCGCCAGCCCTGGCGCGGAGGAGGCCAGCAGAAGCAGGGCCAATGGAACAAGCGCTGGAACCAGTGGCATCGGTCCAGCCAGGGGTCGGGTGAGCCTCGAGGGTCGGGCCGTCAGTCCTCTTGGACGGATCCAGACCACCACAACATTCAGGAGGCCACTCCTTCTGAAGTGGCCACGGCCGACGCCCGTAAGGCTGCTAAAGAGGTTGATCAGGACGAGGCCGACGACGAAGCGTCGTACCTCGCAGCTCTGTGGAAGTCGGCGGAGGATCAAGCGCGCGCAGACCCCACTCGCCCATTGTCAGCTCGGGAACTGGCAGAGCAGGGAAAACTGCAGTGGTGGTGGAAGATGCCTTGGAAGGCCATCGCCGAGAAGTTCCCCGACACGGCTGCATACAAGGAATTCTTGGAAGGACTTGAAGGTCCGATACCGGCCTCTGTGATATCCCGAGTGGCCACGGTCCTTGCTGCCTTTCGGGCTTACGGCCGCCCCCTCGAGGGGGAGAATCCTGTGGCGGGCGTCGTCGGACCCGATGCTCACATTTTTCGGGTGCCTGGGCAACGAATTTTGATCTTATCCTGCGAATTGCGCGGGCCAAGCTATATCCGCAATCCGAACTCGGAACACTCTGCTATCATGGCTCATGGTACCTCTTTCCCATCTTTAGTCGGCGTGGCGGAGATAGGGGAGATCGCAGTGAACGATTATCGCGATCAGGGAATTCCCTGCTTCGGCTTTTCGGCACGAGGTTCATTGGTCGGACTGTCGCGAGATGCACTGGAAAGTGCAGCGACAAAATGCGCGAGTCGGGCTAAAGCCCTGGGTGGTGCGATTATCCTCGTAGAGTGCGAGTTGCCACGGGGCACCCCCCCTGTGGAGGGGGGGAACGAAATGATGCAGATCTGTTGCCGGGACGCTGGCTCGGTCAGGTCGGGGGATCACTTTTTGATCTCCCCAAAACACGCGATTATGAGAGGAATCGCAGTAGGGTGGCCGTGTTGAGCGGCATTATCCCTGCAGATGTGAGCATTGTTGTTATTGTAAGCTAATGCCAATGTTGTGCTGAGTCATCTATTGGTGCTCTATAGCTTGCTAGTTTGGTTTTGCTGGCATTGCTCACACCAGAGGTGGTGGATACTATCCTTATGAACCACGAGGGAGTGGCAGACCGTCGGGAATCGCGACATGAAAAGTTGTGCCATCTGTCCCGCCTCGGGGGGGTCAGACCTGAGTGGTGTCTGCTACGCTTCGTGTATGCTGCGAGGGGAGATTCCCAGCGGAAGTAGTTTCCTTGTTGGCAACTTGTTGTTCACGTACTGTCGGTTCAAGTTTTGACCGGTTTGGTGGGGCGTAGTTCCTGCCAGGGTTTCTTGCGATGTCTGGCCACGACCCTAGAGCGAGTGAGAATGAAGTGTTCATGCGAAGCATCACTCATGCTCGGTCGTCGCTGCCTCGGCAGCCTTGGGAACAGCCGGCTATGCTGTGCATATTCGATCCATTGAAGGCGGCTTTCCCTCAGGGCTTGAACTTGCCTTATCAGGGAGTGGTCCCTGCGTCGTCTGTTCCTCAGACGGCAGCACAGCCTTCAGATTCCGGAAATTCGGTGACGAGTGGATCTCATTGTCAGGCATAGACTCGTGCAGTCAAGGCAAAAAGAGGGCCTAGGGCCGCGGATCGTCGTGAAGAGGCGTACCGCCGGGTCCTCACATTACTTCATGCCTTTTCGAGTTTCTTTGACCTGTGTACTTTGATGGCGGATGACGAGGAGGACGGCCCGGATTCTGTTCAGGCAGTTTTGGCAGGGAAATCACCGAACACCATCTTGAAACATGTGGGTCCGGTTCGTACTTTTTGCGAGTGGCTTTTGAAAGCAATTCATACTCCGCCTTTTGCGGAGAAAGTCTTGTGGTCTTTCATCCATTGTGTCCTCAAGCTGCCTAAGACCGCGGCCACCACACTGGACAGTAGTCTGCGTGCTATCAAGTGGAGTTATTATACCTTGGGACTACGTGTTCAACTAGAGGTCTTCAGCAGTCCTCGAATTCATGGTGTGGTGAAGAAGGCGCTACAGACTAAAAACCCGTGGTGCCCGGCGTCACCCCTCAAGGTGTCCGAAGTTCTCCAGTTGCACGCGATCTGTTGTGATCGCGATATTTCTGTCATTGATAGATGCGGGGCGGCACATTTCCTTGCTATGGTCTACGCGAGGGCGCGAGCATCGGACATCCGGTGTGTCAAAAGTATCTTGATAGACGTGCACAACGAAGACTGGAGTTCGGGCTTCATTGAACTATAGGGACGCTTGAACACAAGACGTCTAGGCTGGACACTCAACGACGCCGCATACTGCCTCTGGTGATTCCCGGCCAGGGTATTGCTAAAACGCCTTTTGGTCAACTCCTCCTGGACATTAGGGCTGAGGCTGGTTTGCCGAACGATCAGGCTGATGTCCCATTCTTGCCGGCACCTCTGCCGGATGGATCTTGGTCTTCAGACCCGTTGTCTAGCAGCGAGATCAGATCACCAGGTGGCTGAGGTATCTACTGCCACGTCCATCGACGGAACAGGCCGTCAGTTCGCACTCATTGAAGGTTACTTCACTTGTTTGGTGTAGCAAATTCGGGATGCTTCGCGAGACCAAGCGAGTTCTAGGCCATCACGCGGATGCAGCGACTGGCAGTGATGCAGTTTATGGGCGTGAGTTGCAGAGCGCAGCACTACGTGAGTACGTTGTCGTACTGGATGCAGTGGCGACGGGTAAGTTCCTGCCGGACCAGACTCGTTCGGGTCATTTCTCATCAGGTTGGACTCGGGAGTCCATCCTGCAGGCGGCTGCTTTTCCACAGGACTCGGAAGTCCTGCAGGCGGCGGTGGAAGATGACCAAGATGAGGCTTTGGCTGTGGTTTCTGATGTTTCAGACTCTGATGAAGAAGCCCCGGAGGAACAATCTTTCTGGGCTCATCCGACTAGCCAGGTCCTGCATCGCACGACTTTGGGGTCGGCAATGTTTTTGTGTGGCCGAGCTTTTGGCGATCATTATCGGCGCATTCCTATGGCTCGGGCGCAAGCGCACCCGCAATGTGCCAAGTGTTTCCCACGGAGCGCAGTTTGATTTCTTAGCCTGCTCGAAAAGCCAACAGCTGTCCTAGTATAGTGCTCGGTGTGCATTGTGAGAGCTGCGTCCTCGCTAGCTTTTTCGGTTGCCAGGTACTTAGCCATGACGAGTTCCGTAGATTCGGCGCCTTTCTTTGTGCAGCGAGCGGATGAAATCTCGCTTGCCAAGCGAGTAGTGGATGCCTTGAAAGGTAAAGGGGTCACCACTTTGGCCCAGCTGGCCTTTTGTGTCGGACAACCGGGACAGGTGCTATCTCAGACTGAGTTTGACACGTGGAGCGAGGCCATGTTGGTAGGCATCACGGTGGGCGAGAAGGCGTCTCTGAGGCGCCTGATCTTGGAAGCTCAGACCATGCTAGTGGCTTCTTTGAAGGATCTGGCAGAACCTGCTGAACACGCTTCCCCTAAAAAGGTGGGGGTAGCCGAGCGGAATGCTCGCATGGATCAGCTTCGGACTCAGCTCGCCGGAGTTTCGCTCACTGGACAGCTTGAGCCGAGTCATGCATTACTTGACATGGCCGTTCAGCAGTGGGAGAGTCGCTGCCTGAAGTACATTGGTCCAGAGAAGTGTCATAGCCGCGAGGATGAGGTTCAGAACGTTAAGCCTCTGACCACCAGTCTTTCCTTGGAAGGCGGTAAGCTGAAGGTTACGGAGGCTGCTGGTATGGAGGATCGTGACATTGAGGGCTCTTTGCAGGTCCTTAATACCCTGCGCCGCAGAGGAGTGGCTTACGCATTTGCTCGCTTGATCAGTTGGGAAAGACATGAAGCTTATGTTTCTTCCTTGTTCAGGTATTTGACCAAGCCCGCTCAGCCTGGTTACAGGAAGGTGTCTCTTCGTCAGATCTTGCGGGCTGACAAGCTTGCCTTCTCCAAGTTGTCGGAGGCAGGTGAGGACATCCGGGCAGATGCTTCAGGCACTCTCCCGCTTGATGCCGCGATCGGGGCTATCCTTCACGATTATGACCTAATTGTAGCTCTTCTGCCTATGGGTGATTTGGATGGTAAGGGCAAGAATGCTAATGGCCGTGGCGGGCGCCCGGGTCCTTACAGCGAGAATGCGCCCTGGAAGGGGAAGAATGGCAAAGGTAAAGGCGGTTGGAACTCCAAGGGCTCTGATAGTTGGACAGGGAAAGGCAAAAACACCTGGCAGGCCAAGGGCAAGTCGCCCAAGGGCAAAGGCTCTGGAGCCGGTAAACCGGAATGGTTGCCTGAGGGACTTCGCTTCCAGGGAGCATCTGCATGGAATAATAGAGGCAACAAGGTTTGTTACGGTTTCAACCTCGGGACATGTTCGGATGCGAACTGCCAGAAGGGCGATCACACTTGCTGCATCTTTAAGTGCGGTGGCGATCACCCGGTGGGGAAGTGCCCCTTGAAGCCCAAGAAGCTGTGACTAGCGGCTCCGTCGCCTTGCACCGCCGCCTTGGCGTCGGACGTGGAGATGACACCTTCGGAAGAACCCGTTTCCGGTGCCGTCTCTGTAGCTGATGTCACGGCATCGACCTCACCGCCTGTTGGAGTGGGAGTGGACCCTGCTTCAGAGATGGTAGATGTCGACGATTCTCCGATTTTTGTAGAACCTACAGTTTTGGATCCCCCTACGATGCCGAGCGCTTCGTCTGAGCCTTTTGCCTTGGAGCGCACAGAGAGCGAGGGGGCGCTCCCCTCACCTCCCGTGGCATCGGAGGACTTTTCTCCGGCACCGCCTACTCAGGAGCCGGCCAGAGCCGTTTTGCAGTGCTTTGCAGGTCAAGCTCGTGTGGCTTCGGCCTTGATTAAGCAGGGCTATTTTTCCTATGGAGTGGATCGATTCAAGCAGAAGGCGGCCATGGCCCCAGTGCTTCAGATGGACTTGTCGACGCGGGAGGCGTGTGACTCTGTCCTAACATGGCTTGACAACCGGAAGATCGCGGGTGTTATGATATGTATTCCTAAACACGCCTCGGAGCCTGTTACTACGGCTTTCGTCCTGGCAGTGATGGCAGGGTGCTTGAGCAACAACCTGCCCATGGTTCTTGAGGGTTCGGTGTCTTCCCCCTTTTGGGAGAGTTTCAATCGTTTACCATCAGCACAGCACCCTCCGCATAGGGTGGAGGTGGATTGGCAGCTTTGGGACTCACATAGCAAGCAGCGCAGCCTCGTGTGGTCTAATTTGCCCGAAATCCTCACTGTGCGCAGGGAGGCGGCACCTATGGGACGTAAGGTGCAGCAGCGATCGGAGGCGCAGACAGGTTATCCGCCGGCTTTTGCCACGGCGATAGCTGAGGTGTTCATTGCAGGCCTGACTCAGCGACAGCTGCCATGCCGCAGCCCGGCCTTAGCTAACAAATCGCTGCGAGTTTCGGCTATGAATCAGCCACGTGGGGCGATGCCGGAAGTGGTGTCTGAGTGGAAGTTGGTGGTTTATGTCCTTCTGCCACCGCAGGTTGAGGACCCGTTTGGCGGGTCGAAACGCCTCAAACAGGACTGGCGAGTCCCGCACGGCGCCCGCGTGTTGCCGGAGCTCAAGCTGCTCCCGCAGGATTCCCAGCTTCTGTCGCGTACTCAGTCAGGGGGGCAATTGAGCCCGCAACTTCAGCAGCAGGAAATGCAAAACTTGAATGGAGCCTCAGTTTTGCGAGTGGGCATCCCATGGGATCCCATTGAATTCATTGCTAAAGCAGGTAAGATTGGACACCCATACCATAAGTTATCCAAGTGCAACAAGGATCTCAGAGACCTCGTTCATGACTTAGTACACAAACCGGGACCGGTTCGTTCTCAGAGGAAGAATTACATCGAGAAGTGGGCCAGAAGAGCCAAAGAGTTGGAACCAGAGGAAACCAAGCTGAAAGCTGGCATGTCGGATCACAGAAGGAAGATCCTTCAACCCAAACGTATCTTGCTATTTGAAGAGATGCTGCGAGACATTGGGTATGACGATATGGGTGTGGTTCAGGAGCTCATCGACGGAGCCACGCTGACGGGGGACATTCCTATCACTGGGGTGCTGGATACCAAGCTCAAGCCTGCTAGGTTGGATACTGAACAACTTATAGGGATGTCTGATGAAATCAGACAGCAGATCCGGGTGAAGACTGGGTCGTCGGGTGATAAGGAAATCGACCAGCTGTTGTGGGATAAGACGATGGAAGAGGTACAGAGTGGATACCTCTCAGGACCTTACGATTTCGAGTCATTGCCGAAAAGATGTTTGGTCAGCTCCCGTTTTCCGTTGCTACAAGGGGAGAAGCTGCGACCAATTGACAACTACTCATCGAGTTTGATTAACGACACGGTCACAGTTTCTGAAAAGCCTATCACGCACTCTATCGATGAAATTGCATTGCTGATAAATACGCTTTCGAGTGCTGCCCGAAAGAAGAACCTGAACGCATTGTACGGGAAAACGGCGGATCTGAAGGGAGCTTACAGACAATTGGCGGTATCTGATACAAGCTTAGATTTTTCTTACCTCTCGGTCTACGACCCGGCAGAGGAGAAGCCCAAGTTGTTCCAACAACTAGCTGTGCCCTTCGGCTCAACCAAGGCCGTGTATCTTTTCCTCAGAGTGGCGAGAGCTCTTTGGACTATCTTGGTCAAAGGGGCCAGAATCCCGACCACGAATTATTTCGACGATTTTGTTCTGCTCGCTCTTGGAGGAGATAGGAGTTCGTGTTCGCATGCTTTCGATGAAGTTATGAGGCTGCTAGGTTGGAAGCTGTCAGCTGATAAGACGACAGAGTGGGACACTAGCTTCGAGGCCCTTGGCGTCCTTTTCGAGCTTGACCAGACAGGGTCGGGAGTTCTGAAGGTCAGGAACACTGAGAAACGACGAAAGGAACTTACTGCTGCGATCAAAGGTTTCCTGGACAAGGGAACCATGACTCAGAAGGAAGCGCTACAACTGCGGGGTAGGCTGCAGTTTGCTCAAGCCCAGTTTTTCGGTAGGCTGGGAAGAAGGTGCCTTACGGAGGTGACAAAGCATGCCTACACTGGCAGGTCGAAGCTTTCGTCGATGGCCAAGGAACGACTTGAAGAGTTTGGTAAGTTCCTTGACATGGCCCAACCGAGGTTAGTGGGACAAGTTTCATGCAGGACTTTTATGATCCTGACTGATGCGGCGTTTGAAACGGAGTCAGGAACTGGAGGCCTGGGGGCGTCCTTCTCACCGGGTCAGGCTCGGCACTCTCTTTCTTCAGCGTGCCGATCTCAGAGCAGCAAGCCAAGTCTATGTCGTTGCAAGATGAGCATACCATCATATATGAGCTCGAAATGTTCTTGATCGGTCTCAAGCTCTTGGTCGAAAAGACAGCTGCTTTCGCAGAATCATACGAACAGCCAGGTGCTGTTGCTGGAACTGGAGTGATTTGTTATATCGATAATGATGCTGCGAGACATGCATACATCGCCGGCTCTTCGAAGAAAGGGGTTGCTGGGATTCTTATCGATGAAGTCAATTTCCTGGAGTATGTCCACGGCATCTTGCCGTGGTATGCGAGAGTGGCATCACCCGCCAATCTGGCTGATGAACCATCGAGGATGAAACTTGATAGAGTCAAGAGGCTAGGATTCAGAGACGAGTCCGTCGAGGCGACCAAAGCGGTGTTATCAATTGTGAAGAGGGTTTCAAATCTGCCTGCTTAACACTGCGACTCCTGGAAGTGGGGACGAAAAGAGTCTTGTGTCTCACAGGACCGACAGTTCGAAGATTTCTGCCGTGTGCGGTACTTGCTACCCCACCGTGTGAAAATAGCGTCGAGCTTGAACTCTCTGCATGCGACATGTGCGAGTGCAAGCATTCATACCTGGAGGTTCAAACACAATTGACATACAATCGCATCTCAATACAAAGCACGATCTTTGATCAATAAGTTTCGTTCTTTGAACACTTGCAGAAGATAGAGCTTTATTGTTCAAAGAAAAACAACATGACAAAATGACTTAGAGAACTAAGTCCAAGTTTGATTTGTTGTTTTAAGGCTTTCCTTTTACACTGCCCATTTTATTGAACTCATTTATACATGCTGTAAACCAGTTGAAGAATACATTCGTCCGTTGCAGCTTGACCTCTCGAAGGGGCAGGAAGCCCTGAATCGGGCGAGAGTTTTATTTGAAATACCCACCCTCTCCACCCTAATTGATTCGTGGAAAGTGCAGAGATTGCATCAGTGTTGTGCTACCTCAGGAAGCTTTGGACCTCAGTTTGAGGACACTCAGGTATGCTTTATGCATAAGACCTGGTTCGGGTCTTGGCTCTCTGCTTCGCAGTTTGCTCGGTCTTGCTCGTCTTCGACTGGCAGGCCGTTCACTAAGGTTCAGTTTGTGAGCCGTGCACGGCTTGAGAGTGGCTAGTTCTCCTTTCGGAGGGGACGAAAAGAGTCTTGTGTCTCACAGGACCGACAGTTCGAAGATTTCTGCCGTGTGCGGTACTTGCTACCCCACCGTGTGAAAATAGCGTCGAGCTTGAACTCTCTGCATGCGACATGTGCGAGTGCAAGCATTCATACCTGGAGGTTCAAACACAATTGACATACAATCGCATCTCAATACAAAGCACGATCTTTGAACAATAAAGGCCCATGGCCCGTTCGCAGCTTCGGCGAGCCCCGCGGTCTGGCTAAGCTCACCTCAAAGGAGAGAGACCGGGCTATCCTTGGCAACATTTTTGCTGATTTTTCTTTTGAAATAGCTAAAGCAGCCCTCGCCTCGCTTACCTTCTTCGTCTTGGAGCAACCAGAAGATCTTGGGGCTATGCCGGCAGGGCCCCACCAGGGGCAACGCCCGGCTAGCATGTGGCACTGGCCCGCTCACACACAGCTCGCCAACCAAGGGCTACGTTCCGTGGCACTGCACTTGGATAACTTTGGTGCCACCACGGCTAAGCCGACACGGCTGTTGCTCAAGACACCGTTGGAAATGCCGGCTACAGTGCACGAAGGCCTCCCTGCTTTTGACGATGCAGGCGGCTACTTGGGACCGCTGCCGCCTTCGGCTACACCCGCGGCTACTCCGAGCCCCATGCTGGCTATAAGGCTGCTCTCGGCGAGTGGCCTTCCGACTTCGCTCGTTGGCTAGCGCAACTCGCCCTGGCTACCTGCACGGCGACTGCTGCGACTGCCTCCGGAGAAGGGGAACAACCGTTGCAAGATACAGTGGATTCCGAAGACTTGGGCTACGTGACGAACCAACCAGAGGGTCGGCTACATGGTGGCCAGGGCCCTCCGAGGCGCTGTTACCAGAACCACGGGATAAAGGAGTTCCACGATGGTGGCGGGCTATGCTCACCAGGGGGCACGCTCGAGGCCACGCAGAGGGAGAATCTTGGAACTGGCTGCGGGCGAAGATCAGGGAGATCGTGGTCCGGCGAGCGGGCTCAGAACAGGAGTTGGAGAAGGAGGTATGGCTATGGGGGGCGAATCCGGATGCAAACTAGCCCGGGATAGCCAGCTACATGAGGAGCTGCTAGAAGTACCACCGGGGCAACCTCTCCGGCTACGGCTGCTACGGGCGATCCTCGAGGCTGCCGGCGACCCGGATAGGGATTTTCTGCGTCGAGCCGAGGAGGGTCTACCTCTGGGGATATTGGAAGGGCTTCGGAGAACCCCACATGTGTTCGAAGAGCTGAGCAGACGTCCTGGAGGCTAGACAATACTCCGTGGGAGCCCGCGCTAGCCTGGGTGCCGAACTATTCCTCGGTTGGCGACCATCGGGACTTCGTTCGGGCTAAATTCGACGAGGACGTCGAAGAGGGCCTCATGGAGAAGATGACCCTCGGCGAGTTCAAGGCGAGGTTTGGCGAGCACAGGGCGATAGCCTCCTTGGCGGTGATAGTCGAGGACGAGGAGAAAGACAAGAAGAGGATAATCCACGACGCGACCCACGGTGTCAGGGTGAATCACCGGATACGCTGCAGAGATAAGATCCGGGCCCCGGGGGCTAGAGAGAAAAAGCAGATCCTTCGCGAGCTGATCCGATGTGGCGAGATCGCCTTCTCGGCTGTCGGGGATATTTCGAAGGCTCACCGGCGCTACAAGCACCAGGCTAGCGAACATGGCTACATGGGCTGCCAAATAGACACCGAGGAGACGATCCCCGGGGACCCGGATAGCCAGATCGTCTATGTCAACAAGGTGGGCACCTTTGGGCTCTCTCCGGCGAGCTATTGGTGGACGAAGATAGCCGCATGTGGGCTACGGGCTACCCATCATCTGTTGGGCCCCGGCTACCCCATCGACCTCCTGCTATATGCCGATGACCTCGAGGCCCTAGGGATAGGGACGGAAGGGAGGAAAGGGATTCCTGGGCTGGGATATCCCTTCAAGTGGGCGAAGAATTGTGGTGGCTACAGGGTGGAGTGGCTGGGGATGGAGACAGAGTACTCCTCCCACAGGCTAGGGATGTCGAAGAAGCGAGCATCCTGGCTATCGACCTGGCTGAATGACAAGGTGGCCTCGGGCAAGGTGACCGCCAAGGAGATGCAGCAGGGACTCGGAAGGCTAGGATTTGCCGCCATTGCTCTCGACTGGCAGAGGCCCTTCCTGGGACCACTCCATGCCTGGAGTGCGGCTATTCAGGGAAAATCGGGATACCTCATCATCCCGACGATGCTACGGGTCCTGATGCGATGGCTAGCCGACAAGCTCGACCAGGGGGAGAGACTACAACGACCAGTGACCCTCTACGCTGGGCTACCACCACTGAGCTTTTTCACAATAGGGGGCTTCCTGGAGATATCCGAAGGGAAGCCGGGACGGTTTTCGCTAGAAGTGGATAAGGCCTGGGCTCCTTGGGCCTTCTCGAAAGGGGACCCCAAGAAAGTGATAGCTGCGCTAGAACTGCTAGCGACCGTCGTGGGGATACGTCTCTGGGTCCCCGAGGGCGAGGATAGAAAGACCTCGCGAGTGGCCATCCGTGGATATACGGATATCAAGTCCAATGAGGCACTTGTGAAGAGGTTTCGGCCCAAGCACGATCTCCACGCGATCGAAACTGGGTGTCGTAGGGTAGGACAGCTGCCAGCAGTGCTTGCCGTTTAGAAAAAGCTGTGCTCCAGTGATGGCTCCGTCGTCCGGTGGCATGGCGCGCGACTACTACAAGCATAATTTGAAGTACATACTCGACACGACCCCTGAATCCCCTGAACTTTCCCTACCCAAAGTTCCAGAGAGTCCACTTGTTCCATACTTCGCCGTTTGGGTTGACGGACGAAAGTTGCGGTTTCCCTTCGAGAAGGGCAACCTCTCTGGCACTACGCCTTTGTGGAGAATCCATGCCATTTTGGCACAACGAAAACATGCAGTGATGAGGGAAGTCCTTCAACCTCGGTTGCGGGACAACACACATGTTTCGAGCGAAATTGCACATGCTGATCATGATTCTGCCTGCCATGACTTTGCGAGAGATGGGCGAGATCTCTTTCTCTGCAGCTGTTTGTGGAGGCGAGGACATTCGTACGGTGTGTGCCTTGAGACCGGCCGCTTTGGCCGCCCAACCAGGTTCTTCGAGAAGGACCTAGCCTGCAGCAAGGTGCGGGCATTTGCAAGCAAAGACGTTCAGGAAGATCAGGATGCTGACGCAGACAATGGGGGCGATCTTTGCCCCTGCCCCGCCTCCTCTGGCGGCCTGTCGGCAGATGAAGTTGACAACGGCAAGAACAGGGGCATTGTCACTGCACACTGCCCTACTCCGGAAATGGTTGCAAGAGCTTTCGCTCAAAGCGGCCTGGGTGCCTGGATCGCGCCGACCCAGGAAATTTGCGATGGAGGCGGCCAGTCCTTCTACCAGACCAAGGCGATTCCGCCGAAGGCCTACAGCGAGCACGTCGAGCCGAACCGGGACTACCTGTTCCTTGGCGGCGACTGCGGTAGCGATGATGGCCACCTGCACGGCGGCAATGGCGATCATGGAGGTGACCAGCCCTGCCTCCAGAGAGATCTTCTTTACCACCAAGGTGTAGGCGTAGAGTGGCCAGCCCTTCCCCTAGAGAAAACTGGTCGAAAGAAGAAAATCAAGAGCCCGAGAGGCCACTCCCGAGCCCTAACCCGCCACCAGCCCGGTCTGGGCTCCCGAGCGGTAGGACTCTCGACGGCCATGGACAGCCGGGTGGCCAGTTCTTTTTCGAGGATGGGGGTGGACTCGGCGGCCAGATCCTCACCGGCTACGACGACCATGCTGCTGGCTTTCGATGGGAGGATAACGATGAAGGCAGTCATGGACAGTTTGATGAGCTTGAGTATGGGTGCCTGAACTCATACGACGGCGAAGACCGCGCTGCAAGGGCTTCCCGAACTCTGCTAGGGTTTAGACCTCTTGACCCCCCTAGTGGGTATCCGTGCTGTGCTGCCGCCTCTGCCCTGGCCCCCCTTGGGTTTAGGACCTCTGCCCCCTTTTGTGGGTTTAGGGAGTTACCCGGGTGCGAGCAAAGTGCCGGCGACGATGATGGAACTGAGATGCGCTGCCATGCTGGTGGCGACAATGGTCAGGGTGGTGCTGCTGCAGTCCCCTCTTGCCCCCTAGGGTTTAGGGCCCCCTCTTGTGGATTTAGTGGGTTACCCGTGTGTGGGCCATGTTCCCGCGACGATGCTGGAACTGAGATGTGCTGCCATGCTGGCAGTGGCAAGGACCCGGATGGCGCTGCTGCCGCC